AAGAGAGAATAATTATATAAATATAAAAAATATATTACTCTGAGATTAAGTTTTGACAAATTTTTGAAAACTTCAAAATCAATTTATTGTGTTTTACATCATATTTGTTTAAGACAATAAGACATATATATGACTTTATTGATGTGATTAAACAAATAACATTTTTGAAAATTAATTAGGAAACATGGAGCCATTTTGGATAGTTCTAAATAATTCTGTGTTACTTGTTTATTATTGTTGTTTGCGTTCTATCTTTATCATTTTCAAAGAAGAATATAAATTAATTTACTTATTTTTTTACTATACATTTTTTTATGTACCCATATAATACAATGTATCGTACTAGTAAATGTATTTTTCATAATAACACGACGAACGAAGATTTCTTCATAAGTGTGTGACAAAAATGTCAAATTCATAAAAGGGTTTAAATATGTCAAATTCATAAAAGGGTTTAAATATATAAATTAATTTACTTATTTTTTTACTATACATTTTTTTTTTTATGTACCCATATAATACAAGGTATCATACTAGTAAATGTCTTTTTCATAATTACACGACGAACGAAGATTTCTTCATAAATGTATGTGACAAAAATGTCAAATTCATAAAAAGGTTTAAATATGTAAAACAAATAATCTCTATGGACTTAATCGAGATGCTTATGTGTACACATGAGAAGAGAAAATTATCACTCCAAAACATTTCATATTCCAACAAAAAGTTTTTCAAAGAAAATTTAAAAGTTTTTCAAAGAAAATTTAAATGGAAATTCTAGTTGTATAACTTCAGTTGGATTCCAACAGAAATCACATTCTATTGGAATTAATTTTCCCTTGGAATTTAACTGAAATTTGATGATTCCAACGATTTTTTTGAAAGGTTTATAGTCGTAGGAATTCCCATTGAATTTTTTTTTTTTTTATTTCGGATCATATTTCAACAGCTGAAAATATAAAATCATCAAAATTCAATACAAGTTCTAACTAAAACCTCATTCCAATGAAATATTATCATTGAAATTTTTGTAGGAATCCATTAGAAAATCTCAATGAAAGTAATAACATTGGAATATTAATTGAAATTATTGTTAAGATTTTATTAGAATATATTTTCGCAGAACTTGACCATTTTCTTATAGTGTACAAGTTTCCAAATTTAGAGGCCATAAAGTAGGATTATTGTGTTAATTAAACACATAATTAATTAACAAATAATTAAGATTTATTACGACTTCATGGTTTTAATTTTCAACCCAAAACTACAAACATGACATCAACAATAGTATCTTTTGTAAAGTCTACAATTGGAGTTATCTAGAAGATAATTAAATTATTTAGCTGCAGTTTAACCACAAATCGAGCAGGTTTCACTTGTAAGAATTTTTTTGAAAATTAAAGCCCATAATTTGGGGTAGAAAATAATTCTACTTTGTACGTAACTTTCATTGGTTCATAAAATATTCACTAATTAATCAATTTCCGAACATTTTATCCAAATTAGTGGTAATTTTGCCTGCTTTTTGTATATTTTTTTTTTCATACGGTGCTCGAATTTTTTTCCCTTAGCTATTTCGGCAATTGTAAAAACTGACATTTGCTATAAGTTAATAGATATATTTTGCAATTTTCCTCAATTTTAATCTTATATGATACCCAAGTTTTATTTATATATATATATATTTTTTTTTAACTTCACAAAATTTTTAATAAAAAAGCGTTTGATAGTCACATATAGAATAAGGAATGAAGACAGGGTCCCACGTATTATACTCAAAGGAATATATTCAATTTTAGGAACAAATTGGGAGAAAAGCATATTAAGATGCTTAAAATTTAAGCAAACATTTATATGCAATATACTAATCCTTACGCGCTTTTGCACTATTTTCGGGTATTAAAAACGAAATGAAACTGCTAAAGGTTAGAGTCGCACTTTAAATCCGATACACTTTTTGCTGGCTTAATGTCACGACTCACGATGACAATTATAGTTGTTGCATAGAGGTTTATTTAGTTAGTTTTAATTTCTATTTCTTTATTTTTATTTTTATTTTTGGAAATTATAAATTAGTTTTTACCCTTCTCTAGACCTTAATTTAATTAACAGAAAATGAAAATAGCATGTATGCATGGACAAAGACACATATGACATACCAAAATGAATAAACTCTTTATATATTATTAGTTTAAAAACTCTCTCTATATTACTTATTAGTTAATATTATGACGGTGAATGTTAATTAATGCTCGTAATTTCATGTTTAGGAGTCTAACTTGTACCACATACATATTAGGCAAAATTGGCCAGTTAATATTGAGCAGATGTCAATTTGCTATTTATTGCAATTAGTTAATGGGCTGTTTTTATCAATTTCGATGTGTATTGCTCAATTTTTATTGATTTAATTAGTGTATATATATATTTATGAAATTTTG